ATATATACATATAAATATATATATATATATATATATATATATATATATATATATATATATATATATATATATATATATGTATTAGTGGTCAATATATATATATATATATATATATATATTTGTATATATATATATATATATATATATATATATATAAATTCGCAAGAGGATAGAATTTACGTTGTCTGTTTCTTACTTTTAATTTAGGTCAGCGAATCGGTAGCGAATTATCCATCGAAAAATTATTCCTATTTATCTGTATCTCACTCATTTAAGCCGTTATTTAACTCCTCTCTTTAAAACTTCTCTCTGTTAAATTTTAATCCCGCCTTCACCTTTAGGCCTTCCTGTTCTTCTTTCTTCTGTTAAACTTCTCTCTAGAGCTTTCAGACATTTCCCTCTCACACTTGTTTCTCACTCCCACACACACACTCTCACTAAACTTTTATTTTTTATATCCCAGTTATATTTACCGATTTTTTTGAATTTGAAGGTCTGATGAATTGGATCGTGATTACGATTCCAATGTAATAAATTATAACCACGGAATATTAGTATTTGAGCCTTTTTTATATATATATATATATATATATATATAAGACAAAAATTATTTTTACTGAAGAATGTCTTTTTCAAAAATGTACATGTCTTATTTCAATCGTTCATTTGTGCTTATAAAGTCTACATGTTCTTCAATGTCTTTTTGCAGACATTACTCAGATTCAAATTTTCTATAGGTTAAATCAAAACAATTTCCCATAAAACTGACGATGATCTCAAGTGCTTGACCCTCACTACAGATATTCACATTTGTATCCATTTGAATTCTGTTTGGCTAATCCAGAACTTAGATTGTTAAAAAGCTGCATCAATATTAAAAATTATGCCATTTCGGAAATTTGTTTTGTTGGAAATGAAATTATAACAGAGATGGAATATCCTGGTTAATTTCAAGAGATTCTCTTTTAAAAACAATTCATTGTTCATTTCATGCTTGCTAGCTTGTTTGTTTCAGAGTGTAAATAAATATCTCAACATAAAATCTCTTCAACATGCATGACAGTAAAATTGTTTGTATGATTGTTAGGAGTGCCATTTCTTTTTTACAATCATAATATTGTTGATTTTGGTCAAACCTTTCTATACGGTTTCGTCTAACCACAATATATTTCGGTGTAGACATTCTTTGTTTGCTTTTAGAAAAAAAAAACAATCTGAACTGTGTTTTTGTACATAGTTTCTTTCAAGACATTCTGCTTTAAAAACTACGTTTCGACATTAATAATTCCGTTCTTCTTCAACGTACCGTGCCCTGTCAGGACGTGGGCGATCATCGCTCTCCACAGCTTCATACCTCTTTTAGCCCTTAATATCTATCCTTTACGAAGCCTCCGCCTACGCCCGTTCTGCCACACAAGCCCGTCAGTTAGCTGATCCTTAATAGACGCTGTGAGTGTAAAATTATCCAATCTATCCTTTGTCATTAGACGTCCAAAAATTTCCACCGTCTCCTTCTGATCTTCTGTATAAGTTTCCTTTTTTTTGTTTTTAATTTAAATTCTTCGTTGCGGATTCCGTCTTTGGAATTCTCAATATTCTTCATTTTCTCTCTGTCTTCTCTTCTTTTGTAAGTAGATTTCCCAGCATTCAGTAGCATACAAGACGATTGATATAACATAACAATTGAGAATTCAGAACTCTCTTCGTTGTGTCTAACAAAATATTTATGTTTTTTTAGTATATTGTTTAGCTTTTCGAATATATCTTTCGCTAAAGAAATTCACGTTCGGATTTCGGTGCCACATATTCTGTCCTCTGTTAAAACACTTGCCAGATTTTACAACTACTGTACCTGTTTGAAGTTGACATCTCAGATTCGTAGTTCACATCTTGGGATTCTTGTAAAGGGAAATTTTTCTTTTTTTTCTTTTGGTATTTCACGATGTTTGTAGTGACTGAAATAAGTTCACTTTTAAAGCATCGCTCGCTTCTTAGAGTTGTCTTTGCCAGAAGAAAAAAAAACATGGAAGTGGTAGCAACAAGTGTCACCTAAAATCGGAAGTGTTAGGAAGATATGGAATGCCATAATCACCCACATTTTAAACGGATAAAGCACAGAGAGACAGAGGGAATATTGTTGTTTAATTGAAAGTAAATTAATTTAGTAAATTGACGGAAAATCAATTTTCAAAAAGCCCAAGAAATGATATGTATAAAAATACATAAACAACAACAAAAAAAAAAAACGAAAAAAAAAAAAAAAACGGGGAGACATAGACATATTTTTAAAAGGATAGCGAAAATAAAGAGAGACAGGTGATTATTTTCCTTTGAAGAAAGTTTGTATCAGAATTATTTGTCTCTCTCAAGTAAATAATAGACTAGACTTAGCTATTTAGCTTTGGTAGGGCAGCAAATCTAGGAAAAGGAAATGCAAACGACGAAAAATGTGTTGATAACAATCAGAAAGAAACAGCTGAAATGGGTGAAAGGCAACATTAGGAAAGATGGCTTGGAGATTTTAACACTTTCAGGGCATATCGTAATCAAGGTAAAGAGTGAATCATCTACTTGACAACTGTGGAACCTGAAGACTTCCGTCCATGGAATGTATCTTTCGCTAATCCATTGTGTGTTCAGGGTTGCATTTTTTCCATTCTCTGTTAAAACATTTTCCTAGATATCTAATCATCTGCGATCTAAAACCTCCCTAAAACTAACATAGAAACGAACCAAAACCATAATAAGAGCACAATTGAGATACGAGCGTTGATAGGCTGCTTTAGAAGCGGTAAAAATCCAACGGTGATCGACATTGGTGAAAAAGAGCTGAGTAAGAAACATTATGTGAACGCCTGACGAAATTGTGCAAGAAATTTAAATTTATGTGGGTGTATGTATGTGGGCGACTCAGTGCAGATTAACGCTAACCTCTTGAAAGCGTCTCAAACGTAGGAAGTCGTAGATCAGCTACAATAATATGGAATGGGTGTTTATTAAACTGCTAGCTGTATACAGGAACTGACGAAAAATCACGTATGACGGTCAATGATCATCTGCTGTGCATGAATATGAGACAAAGCGGAAAATTTTAATAAACGACGCGTTTCGTCGACGACTGTTGATCTCATACAAAACTGTATTTAACGAAAATGCATTGAGATTTTTTAGGATAGGAAGGACAATAAATTAAATTATCTTATCAGATCCATCTACCAGAATTTACCTGATTATATATATATATATATATATATATATATATATGAAGAAGCGGAAATTAACTGGCGCGGGCGAAACGCGTCGTTTATTATCCTTTACCACTTTGTCTCATTAGAATGAAAGGCAAAACTGTGTGTAAGGAAAATGCGTTGTGATTCTTAAGGATAATATATATATATATATATATATATATATATATATATATATATATATATATGTATGTATGTATGTAAGCAAATATATGGATATAGATCCGACAATATGAAGAAAAATATACAGAAAAAACAAACAAAAATCTTAATATATAATTATGCTGTATTAATGTTAATATAAAGTCAACGTCGGACGTTTCGGTCTATTTTAGACCATCATCAGGACTTATTTATAAAACATTATTAACATTAGAACATATAAAATTCAACATGAAAAAGACGATGCACATAAGAGCACAACTAATCCAAACAGATAACTGAAATTTTATATAATATATATATATATAAGCAAACAAATACTTGCTCTCAGTATCAGTACTTTTGTTTGCACACACACACACAGATATATAGTAGTAATAGTCGTAATGCGTTAAGCTTGGATCGGCTCCTCTATTCCGATGAATGCCTGAAATCCATACCACGGGAAAATTGGGTAGACGGAACTTGGGGCCGTCGATAGCCAAGGGATTGAGCGTGCTGGCCTTGTTCAAAATGATGATCACGCTAGATAATACGCTCTTTCCCAGATAACTAACGTCTGAACCGGATTGATACAATGTCTACTAGCAGTTTAAATCACAGGTGGGCTCTGTGGGTTTTGAATAAACACAAATGCGCCTGAGCAAGCGTCACCAACAGGGATTGGCTAGTCACCAATAGTAGACGGGTATCCTCAAATACAAGTGGATATATATATATATATATATATATATATATATATATATATATATATATATATATATATATATATAAAATACGAAAAAGACTTAAACAAATGAAAACAGAAAAACCCTCCATGAAACAGAATTTATTCCATTGGAATGAGGAGGAGGGAGATCAACAGAGAGAATTTTAGGAAATGTGGGGAAAAGGGTTTTTAAATAAGAGAAGAGAATGAACGTCGACGGATGTCCCCACATCTCCTAAAAATTCTCTGTTAAGGTTCAATCTCCCTCCTCCTCATATTTAACCTTCCCTAAATTTTTTCCGGAGTGGGTTTTTCTGTTTCATTTTGAATAAGGGTCTGATGAATTGATCGTATCGACGGATTCCAATGGAATAAACTATGACCATGGAGTATTAGTGTTTAAGCCTTTTATTATATCCCTACCCCTGTCCTGGACATTGAGTTCTACCTGTATTCTTCCTCTTGGAAAATTTTTTTTCTGAAAATATACATGTATGGGTATTTATATATTTTGCATATGTATGTATATTTTCCACTAATATTATCTCTCTATATATATATATATATATATGTGTGTGTATGTGTGTGTGTGTAAGCACAAAAACGCGCGTTCACACACATACACACACGCACGGACACACACACACATATATATATATATATATATATATATATATATATATATATATATATATATATAAGTAGCATTTTTTATGCACAATTCCGACTGAATGAAAATTCCCAGCAATTCTTTGAAGCGATTGATACAAAGTCTAATCAACTCATGGAACTGTATTTGTTTTAAGTATTTATAAACCCTGTATCGGCCAGGTACCTGTGTTAGTGAAGGAGGGGAAGAGATTGGGAGGAGATAACAAGAGTTAAAAAGAGTGAGAAGACGAAGAGAGAGAGAGAAAGAGAGCGAAAGATAGAGAGAGAGAGAGAGGGGGGGTTAGAGAAGTGTTTAAATAGATACATGAGAAAGAAATAGCAAAGTAGAAAAATATAAAGAAAAAGGAGGAAGCAAGAAAGATAATGAGGAAAGTACCTCGTTCCTTTTCACTAAATTCCTCATGCACATTGGAAGTGAGAAAGATAGAGGGAAGAAAAAACGAAAGCACTGATAAGAAGTGATAATGCCAGCGCGAGGGAGATGGCGAGAAGAGAAAAGAGTAAGTGAGAGAAAAGCAGCAGGGAGAAAGAGATATTGGGATAGAGAAACAGATAAAAGAGAAAAGAGAAAGGTAAGGAAAAGAAGAGTAAAGAGAAAAGCAGTGAAAAGAAAATGTGAAAGAGAGAAAAAAGATTAAGAGAAAGAAAAGAGTGACAAAGACAAATAGAGAGAGAGAGAGAGAGAGACTGACTGAGACGAGAAAAGAGATATAGTGACATAAAGAGAGCGAGAAAAAAAGGAGATGAGAAGAGTTAGAGAGAAGCAGAAATAGGTGAGAATAGAGAGAAAATCAAGAAAAGAGGATGTGGCAAAGTTAGAAGAGAGACGGAGAGACGATAAAACAGAGAAACTAGAAGACTCAAAGACAAGAGTGTGTGTGTGTGAGAGTGAGAGAGAGAGAGAGAAATAGAGAGTAGTAGAGATAGGCGAGAAGAGAGATAGACAGAATGGTGTGGCAACGTTAGAAGAGAGACGAGAAAAGTGAGAAACGAGTTGAATCAAAGACAAAAGTGTGTGTGTGTGTGAGAGAGAGAGAGAGAGAGAGAGAGAGAGTGAGTGTGAGAGAGAGAGAAGCCGAGAGAGGGACAGATGAATAGAGATAGAGAGAGAGAGAAGCCGAGAGAGAGACAGATGAATAGTGACAGAGAGAAACATAAAAAAAAGATAAAAATCTAGAGAGAGGAAGAAAGGCAAAAATCAAAGACGGGAAGAGAAACAAAAAAAAAAGAAAAAAAAGAAAGAAAAGTTAGAACTAAGAATAGAAAAATGTAGAAAGAAAAAAAAAAGATATGCGAAATAAGAGATAGATATATATATATATTAAGGGAGAGAGAGAGAGAGACGGAGAGAGAGAGATAAGAATAGAGAAAGATAAGTACAGCAGGAAGGATTTGCTAAAGATAGCCTTTCTTGAGGGGGTTATTGTAACAATAAAAGAGTAAACAGTAGCCATTGTTTAACGATGGCAGACAATGGCGGATGCCATTCATTCCCGACTTCAGTATTTCATAGCCTTTGTAATCCCTGCCCATACTCCGACTCATGCTAAATAAACAAAGAAGAAAAAATAGCCGATCACTCACTGATCGCGTCCTTGGGAAGAAACTGATCTTTATAAAATGATCTCTAATGTTATCTTTCGAGAAAGCTAAATGTGTAGGAGTTTTAGAACCGCATAGCGGGATGAAAATGGCTTTTATTTGCTCTATGTGAAAAAAGAAACAAATAAAAAAGAATGTTGTGTTTTTTTTAATCAATTCACCCCAAACAAGGTGATGATGCCACTAAGATGCAAGGGGTCAAGTGAAAAAGAAAGAAAAGTCTTTAGACAGAATCAGAAACTCAATAATAGTATAGATTTCAGAGTTCAGACGTTAGATGTGTAGAGTTAAAGTAGACTTTAGAAGGAACGGGAAACTCAATCCTAAACAACGAACAAGTGATAAATCTGAACTGCTGTTCAAAAGACCGTGGAGGAATGTGAACCGGACGATAGGTGAACCTATCTGCTCCTGTTAAGACAAAAGTGTAAACAAATATGTTCAGTATATTGCATTTTAAATATTTATGACTGGTAACTGCTATTTTCTTTACTAATTTGAAAATGCTTACGAGTGGGATAAAGAAAAAAAAATACTAAAAACCAACAATAAATGCGAGCTATTTCATGTAAAATTAAACACATAAACACACACACACACACATATATATATATATATATATATATATATGTATGCATGTATATATATGAGTAATGTTCAGATAGAGCATATCTGTAAAAGAACAATATGAATAACATTTGCTTTGATAAAGTCTCTCAGAAGACTAAAGGTGTCGACTAAGATAAGTTTACCTTTTGGCTTTATTCATATTGTCATATATATATATATATATATATATATATATATGTGTGTGTGTGTGTGTGTGTGTGTGTATGCAAAGAGAAAAAGAGAGTGGAAGAAATAGAGAGAGAGGGAAATAGAGAAATTTTGGTCAAAGAAGTAACGGCAACAGACGACCTAGTAAGCTGCAATTGTGATTTTACATAGACAAGAAACGGAGATCACTAAATGAAATGCAATAGATCAATATAGAACCGCATTAGACAAATCAACATGTGTAGTATTAAAAAGGAACCTGAGGTTAGCAAGGTTCGCCGAAACATTACCATTAATAAATGAGAAAAAATGTCTTCAGAATGAAACAAAAGAGGCTAATAAGCTAAAACAATAAGTTACATTATTTAGTCAAAGTTATTAAGCTCAAATATTTAACGATGTGATAAATTAGCGGGAAATTTCAGCGTATATTTTATTGTCGTAGAACTCGTCATGAGCTTATTCAATCATCAACTGAAGAGTTAAGATTCATCAGAAAACTTGAATATAAAAACTTTGAAAATTTAACAGATTGAAACTAATAAATATGAATGTTGATTGTTATTTTAAGAAGTAATGGGGTATAAACGAAAATAAATTGAAATTGACAACTTGTTTCCATTTCATTGAAACAGGCGTTTAACACTTCTACCTCCTCTTCTTTCATTTATTTCATTTTCTTCATTTTTTATTTTTTTTCATTTTTTCATTGTCTTCATTTTTTATTTTTTTCATTTTCTTAATTTTGTTGATTTTGTTCATTTTTTCATTTTCTTCATTTTTTCATTTTCTTCATTTTTTCATTTTCTTCATTTTTTCTTCATTTTTTATTTTCTTCAATTTTTCATTTTCTTCATTTTCTTCATTTTTTCATTTTCTTTCATTTTTTATTTTCTTCATTTTTTCGTTTTCTTCATTTTTTTCTTCATTTTTTATTTTCTTCATTTTTTATTTTCTTTATTTTCTTCATTTTCCTCATTTTTTCATTTTCTTTATTTTTTCTTCTTTTTTATTTTCTTCAATTTTTCATTTTCTTCATTTTTTCATTTTCTTAATTTTTTCATTTTCTTTCATTTTCTTCATTTTTTATTTTCTTCATTTTTTCGTTTTCTTTATTTTTTCTTCATTTTTTATTTTCTTCATTTTTTATTTTCTTCATTTTTTCGTTTTCTTTATTTTTTCTTCATTTTTTATTTTCTTCATTTTTTATTTTCTTCACTTTTTCATTTTCTTCATTTTTTTTCATTGTTTATTTTCTTCAATTTTTCATTTTCTTCATTTTTTTCATTTTCTTCATTTTTCATTTTTTCGTTTTCTTTATTTTCTTCCTTTTCTCATTGAAACCAAGTAGAATTTCTGATATGTCTCTTCCGCCTTTCCAAGCGATCAAAACGGAATAGTCCATTATTTAAGAGGTATTGACAGCGTAAGTTAAACACTTCTTTCTTCTTTCTTTCGTTTTCTCATTAAAATCAAGTAGCTCCTCATATATGTCGTTATGGAATTTCCACGCAAACAGAATGGAATAGTCCATTATTTATGAGCTATTGGCAGGGTGTAACAGCCGAGCTAAATATGGCAGGGACAAGTCGATAATGTAATAAGATTTTCGCCGTTATGCTTTTAATTTAACGAGAAAAATACACATTTTACAAATAAAGCTTTAAGAAACTGGTCTTCTGCTCCTTCTGTCCGTTGCTCATTTAATGATCTTTAATGTTTCACTCTGTACTTTCTCGTAGTTATTTGAAAAAAACTTTTGTTAGTCGACCTCTATTACTCTTGGCATGAGTTGGTTTGACACTGCAGTACGTCAGCGACAAGTTCTTCTTTATGGTACCATAAGTGTTCTACTGATCTTAATCTATGCTTCCGTATGGTTTTAGACAAAAGGATTTTGCCATAGAGTTCCTCACTTGACAGGTATTCAGGTCACGAAATGTTAAGGGCAGACCGACGCATTTTAGTGCCAGTACCATTCTTGTTTATGGTTATAACAATGCTAAAAGAAGAATTTATCACGGATTCTTTCATTAATGTGCAAGAACAAGTCTAGTAGATTAAAGCGTTCTTTCACGGATTTGGTGACGTAATAATTGTGAGTTCAGTCCCTGGGCCGGGGAGCGTGTACATGGACTTAGTGGAAACAAGGCAAGCAATAACTGATCAATAGTAAAAAAAAAAAAAAAAAAAAATAACTAGACGAGAGATCACTAGATATGGCCAGTGAAACGAAAACAGTCTACCCGCGTAGATTAAATAAAGGGCTGGGTTTGGAATAGGTTACCCGGATCGACATACACCTGAGGAATATCGAAGGACACAACGGCCGAAACGTTGTGGTAGCAACAACAAAGATGAGGACAATAGTTCGAATGTAAATAGTCTAAATAGACATATATTATTACTCTGATATAACAATTATATCAAAGAACACGTAGAGAGTAATCAGTTCCTGTAATAAATTAAAAAGAGAGAGAAAAAGATATAGAAAAAAAGTGAACATAAGAAAAGCTATAACTGAGTACTACTAAAAATATGAACCAGACGAGATATCCGTAGACATGGGCAGTGGAATTAGAATAGTTAATTAAATAAAGGGTTCAGAATTAATTGTAGGTTACGCTACACCTGATCAAGGCCGAAATGCATAACGGCTAAAACGTTGTGAAAACAACATCAAAATTGAGGACAATTGTCGTCGTTGCTGGAACTCGTTGCCGAGTATTGGCGTGCTTATTTCTTTCTTGGCAAAATAAGTCCTATGTTGGAGATCGGCAAACAGCGTAAGTAGATTCAAGAGATGGAGAGCTCTGGCTTTTCTTTCGGCTCTCTTTGTCTTTTTTTTTATGCAATTTTCGAATGATGATGTTTTTTCATGTACTGCTCTTCTCCATTTAGTTCTTTCTGCAGCTCCCGTCTCCCAATTGACCGGGTCGATTTCTGTCCCCAGCAAGGTGTTTTAGAGCTGATCCTTCAATGGAGGACGTGAGGCTCCACGTGATCAATTGCCAGATACGAGCTCCGAGAAGTTTTATTGTTTGGATAGGCGGGCAGGGTGTTCGACCAATCGAAGTCGGTGGCGAGTTGTGATGGCTCTCCATTTATACGCAGAGGAGAGCTTCGTTGTTCGTGTTACGGCCCTGCCACGTGCTCCGGTCTTACAACGTGATCCAATACTGCCACGTGATCCGCAAGATTTGACGAAATTTAATTTGTTGGAATCGTTCAAGTTTACGGATGTTTCTTCAGGAGGGTACTCAGGTCTACGGGCGTACAGGAGAGTCGAGATACATAACCAACTGTTTAATTTAACATGAATGAATTCGTTCCCAGGGAGAATTGAAGTAGCACTCAGAAATGAGTAACTACTGGTAATATGATTTTTATCGCTTGTTCATATTGTTTAAAATATATTAAGATACGTTAAAAACTTGTTTACCTTGGATTTAAACGCACTTAGGGAAAGTGTACTTGTGAAAAGTTTTTATCTCTTTTATACATGGCGATAAAAGAATCTCTAGACATTATTTAAATAAAGCCCTAGCAACTGAGCAGTTTGTCTCTGTTGAGAAGCAAGTATGTCCGTCTTAAATTACTGTGAAACTACGATTAGTGATAAATATTTTAGCAAGGGATTTGTTAGCGATATACAGTAATTTACGTATCCAAGTGTTTTCGAATACCACACAACGCGCATATAAGTTATGTGGAGTATATCGGCGATGTACCGTGTCATTTTATCTGGATTATTTGTAATCAGCCAGTTAATTGATA